GGCTGGCCTGGCATTATAGGGCCTATACTGTATACCAGGGCTGGCCTGGTATTATAGAGCCGCCCCCTGGAGGCCATTTCTAGATAGCAGCATGAGAGGCGTGTTGGCAAGTCAGTGTACATGTCAGATATCCAGCATTCACTGTCAAATACAGAAACCCAGCCTTACCTTCTCTGGTGGCTGAGCACAACACTAAGACTTGTTCACATGGCGATTCTCCAATAATGTTTCCTCCTCCATAAGAACGTTTCTTAAGGTGACTAAAGATAGGACTGCACCATCCGGCCTCAGAATACCAGTTTAAATGTTTATATACACCGGCTGTGGCATGTAAGTCATTAAATCAAGTTATATGCAAACATCCTAGTGTTTACAAAACACATTTTTGTGGTATTATTTCTTATATTTCGTGATTTTCAGATTCTCTCACAAAGCTGACGGAAGGAGCTGTTTCTGGTGATGCATTTGTGGAAACATTAATGTTGCCGTATCATGTCTGCTGGAAAGACTCTTGCCCTAACCCATCCACACAACTGATTCTTAAATTTAAATTACTGCCACAAATGAAATAGGGACCCTAGCTGGGAATCCCGAAACCACAGGTGCAGAGCGCCAGCCCGTCTACCCAGAAGTCTGTGCGGGAAGCCGGAATCGAGTCATGGCGTCAGTGGTTCTATCTGCACGGAGTTTGTTTCCAAGAGCTTGCAGTGTGTGGGGTTCTTCCCCTCCCCTCCCCTCCCCTCCCCTGCCCTGCCCTGCCCTGTCCTGTACTTGCCTCGTTCTCGACTTACAAGCATCATACTCTGCGTTTCTGAATGCCGTGGGGCAAATATTTATAAACACATAACAAAATATATAATGAAAATGGCAAGAAGACAAATTAATGCAGCTGATGGTTCTAAATAGGGCTGGGTGATTTGGCAAAATATTTTATCATGATAATTTTTTTCATACAATACTGAAAATTTTCACAATATAATTCAATTCACTATTTCTTTACTTCAGTGCCCCATTTTTTGTAGAATTCCATCAGAATTGCCCTTAAACAGATTCAGATTATGAAAAAAACATACAAAAATGTAATATTCTGTTGCTGGGATTTTCTCTGACTGCCTTACTGTTTGTTCCAAGGAATGGATTTGAGTAGGGCTAGGTGATATGCCCTAAAAATTATATCACAATATTTTCAGATTTTTACAATATTGATATTTATAATATTCTGAAATTCATATGTAGAGGAGGTGGTGTGGCAATGCAGTGGTGCAGTGGTGCACTGGTTGACACTGTTGCCTCGTCTTTGGTTTGAGTCTCTGCCATGGCTTCATGTGTGGAGTTTGCATGCACTCTCCGTGTCACTGTGGGGGGGCTTTCTCCAGTCACATCCCTCCCTCTACAGCCCAAGAACATGCCATGTTGAAGTGGAACTACCGCGCTGCCCATAGGTATGAGCGGGGGCTTCAGATGTGGGGGAGGGGGGTCCAAACTAATAATTATGCAGTGTGATTTAATGGTGACGACGCCCGTGGGTCTGAGTGACTGGCGTGTGAGTGTGCCCAGCAATGGGTTGGCGCTCCATCCTGGGTTGTTCTCTGCCTTGTGCCCATAGCTTCTAGGATAGGCGCGGAAAATGGATGGATCTTGAGTTCTGATTTTGATGACCAAACTGTTTTACTAATAGTTATGGAGCATGTGACGGGTATAATGATAAATTACACCAACAACATACCTTGAGGGAATTTGTGTAATAATAGTGCATTGTAACTGTTAATTTTTCAAGAAAACAAGTGTTTAGGCTATATGACGATACCCATTATAATCAAACTGATGACGATATGAATGTTTATAATAACAATGCTGTATGTATCGATATATCGCCCAACCCTAGTTTCAAAAGTCTGTAGAAACTTGTATGTATGTATGTAGTCTTGTATGTAAATATGTAGCTATGAAGATTCTGTATGCCGCTACAAAATTTATTTGAAGTTTAACCAATTTGCACAATGTTAAATACAAATCTTTGATCCTTGAATAACCCAAAATACGGGGTTTAATGCCATTAAATGCCGGAATGATTTTCTGACCCATAAATGAGTCCTAAGGAGAACCTATTACATGTTCTTGACAGATGTTTGTGTTTTAATGAGCATGACTACAGACGTCCCCATCAGGGCCTGTGTCACGTGCTCCTGTATGGTGAGAAATCCAATACTTAGCCCCAGCAGTCGCTCTCGAGATTCTCCACGAAAACCTCAAATCAAAACTCACAGTTGTTGCAGCCAAAGAACCCAAAATCTGCCCTTCCAGTTCATGCTTTACCACCAATACAGAGAGCATCGGGAAAAAAAGCTAATCGCCAAATAGCCCCAGTTACCCATAACTGTGACCCACCCTCTCCTCATCTGTCTGTAAACATCATATTTAGAGGGCAGACTAGCAATCCAGCAAAACTAATTAAAAGTACGCATTTGTTTGGGGCGCAGACCAAATTTAGGCATGCATATTTTTACCCACCGTGTTCCATCTAAACACAGCTGATCTAATGCGAACAGACGAAGCAGTGACAGGGATGTCGATCTGTTGGCGCTGTCAGGCAGTCTCAGAGGACATCCACTCGACTATGGTGCAGCCATCTACACGCCTCCCAGAGAGAGGCCTGATGAGGAGGACTTGTAACTAAGCCATATGTTTGTATGCTCCCGTCAACCTGCTCTGTGGGGAGGTTCAGGGATCAGCTGATTGAGGAGCAGGGAGTAAGATCCATACCCCTTAGGTCACCTGCCATATTGCTCGATATCGCCGCCTCAGTGGCCAGCCTGAATAAAATTATTCATTTAATTTTTTTTACCTACCTAAAAATGGTGGCTGTAAATGACTGTATAAAAATGATCTATAAAATAACAGGTCCAAAATAAAAACAAGATCTTTTATCCTTTCTGATCAGTAGATAAGTGTTCAGTAAAGTCAATAAGCACAGCTTAAAATATATTTATTTTTAAAATGAACTGTTAATGATTTCGCACAGTGTTTGCCCGCTGATTCGCAATATAGACTATGTTTTGAAAAATGAGATCTGGATTTGTACAGTATTCATCTGAAGATGTGTCAGTGTGACACATGGTCATAAATTTCAAGGAATACTGTACATTAGAGAAGCACTAGGTGATTAGTGATGTTTGGGAGCCAATCGACTGCTATTGCTTACCGCGTTTTTTTTGTAAGAGCAAGTGTGTAGGTCTGTGTTTACTTGTCATGGGGAAGGGGGGAGGGAGAAAGCACCACACGTGTGTCACGATACAGGTTGAGCTGTTATCTGCTATCCCTTGTGTCACCTTGAAGCTGAGTTAGATAGGCACCCCCCCCCCACTGCGAGACGCACGCAGGCCGAGCTGAGAGGGCGGACCGGCGAAACCGCTTATGCGTGATCCAATTTTAGCAGCAAACAGATACTTTACGACATGAATCACCCGGTGCCGGTAAACACGGTGATGAGAAGTGGCCGCGGAGGAGCATCCCAACTGGGTGATAAGAGTGGGAGCCAGAGAGGGGGGTGGGGCAGCGCTTCAGAAAATCCCTCTGGGGAGGCTATCTTTAGCAGGGTGGGTGCCATTGTTAGGGGCCTAATTTTGAGCAGGGGGGCTATATTTAGGTGTCTGATTTCATGGTGGGGCTATATTTAGGTGCCTGAATTCAGGGTAGGGGCTATCTTTAGTTGTCTGAATTCATGGTGGCAGCTGTCTTTAGGTGCCTGATTTTTTTTTTTTGGGGGGGGGGCTATTTTTAGGTGCCTAATTTCAAGGTGGGGGCTATCTTTAGGTGTCTGAATTCATAGTGGCAGCTGTCTTTAGGTGCCTGATTTTTTTTGGGGGGGGTGCTATCTTTAGGTGCCTAATTTCAAGGTGGGGGCTATCATTAGGTGCCTGATTTCTGGGGGGCTATCATTAGGTGCCATTAGATGACTGCAACCCGGAACCGGCTCTTCCTTGGTACAAACCCTGTATGTCTCTCCGGCTCTCAAAGGCAGCTGTTACTCCAAAGCGAAGGCTTCACCACTTCTCCTCCCAGTTCATTTTCTAGGAAACAAAAACAGAAACAGCGAAATGAAACCAGGACTGGCCGTATCGTGCCGCCCGCATTTTCCCGTGTTCCACTGTGGGGGCTTCCCTGACACTCCCCCCCACCCCCTTCTCCTCCAAGTCACACCCCAGAGGAGAATGTGGAAATAAAAACTCACAGAGGGCAGCATGGATCATTAGCCGTGCCTCTCCTCACTCCCTTTAATGTATGATGGATCGAGCTAATTACCCTCCACACCAGCACGCTTTTGCAGAATGACAAGTGGTTATCGCAGAGGACGCCGGCCGCCCATTACATGTGACGACATTCCCTATGCGGCCGTCATGAAACTGACCACATCGCTATGTTTGGTCACAAAAGAACTGTTCTCAGTGCATTTCATTGCCTCTAGCTTCTCAACTTGTTTGGAGAACGCTAATCTTTCCCCTAAGGGGTTAACATACATGGTGCTCACCCCCACTCAGTGGCACCCCCTAGAGGGCAGTCAGCTGGGATACTTTTCTGGCAGGACACAAATCCTGTTGTGCTGTTATGTATTATGTAGCAATGCAGGCAGCTCTGAGTGGTAAATGGCTCCCATTAAATGAGGCTGGGCATTTAAGTTAAAAATACGAATAATAATCCCATTCATTAGCCCCCTTAACAGGTGAGAATCCACTTCAGGGTCGACCGCCACTCGAGAAAACGTGCAAATTAACGAAGGCAGGGTTTTCATGTCCTAAGCACAGAGCCCATCAACCCTCCCCTGCGAGAAGACAATGGTATCCCATTAGCCGGGCGGGGGGGCGGGGGGTTATTAAAGCCCTAGTAAGGTGTCTTGCCACTGCTCGCTGTCAGGATCTGGCAAGGGTGCAGGGCTTTCAAGATCTTCTTGCCCAGAATTCCGTGTGGCAAAAACAGATATAAGACGAGGTGCGAGTGCAAAGATGGCTTCCTCCTCTGCGAAAGAGAAATCGGGAGGAAGACAAAGAGGAATGGAGAGACGGAGAAGGGAGCGAGGCGGCTTTGCATCGCTCTGATGGGAACCGCGGCACAAACAGAGAAACTCTGGCTTTCTGAACTGTCGCATTTGCCTTCTCTCTCGCACGAACCCCCCTGCTGCTGTCCCTACCCCCCGCTCGCTCAAGCCGTGCCTTCGACGGTACTAATTAAAAGCGCTGCACGGAGACAACAGACGAAGTGCTAATGGGGGGGGTGCGGGGGGCCCCGCGGGGCCCCGGGAGGCTGGCTGTGATCACGCCAGCGCAGCGGCTAAGATGCAGCGGCTGCAACGCAGCAGCACCCGCGCAGCTTGCTATTATCCAGGGTCCTGCTGATCCAGCCTGCCTGACAGAGCACAGCGGTCCCGGGGGTGGGGGGGCAGGTACATAACTGGCCTTACACTTTAGCATGGAGCAGGTGTTTTAGGGGGGGGCTTCTCTTTTTCCATCTTCATCCCTCTTTCAGTTTTTATTCCCCCTTTCACCCCGATTTCTTTCTTCATATTATTCTGAAAAGGACATGCAGCATTTTTGGCGGTTTAAAGGAGAGCAGAGGAGCCCTGTCGCCTGCTTGAGTTTCCACTGCCAGCTCTGTGGCTCCGCTTGGCTGGTCCTGATCCGACAGCACATGGGGGCCTTTGTGGGGAAGGGGAGAGGAGGGGGGGTGCCTCACACTTCCCGAAGAGCTCAGCAGGCTGTCTGTCTGTCAGCATGGATCTCGACACCTGCGACCCACCAGTGCATGATGGGTCGCTGACCGGTAACAGGCCCAGTTTGGATGGCACCCTAAATGCCACGCTGGCGTCAAAACCTTGTAACCAACACGTGCTGTATCCTCCTGGGTCTTTTTTACAGAGGACGCTACTTTTTTTAACCGAAGGTTGCAGCGCCTCCTGCTGGTAGAGAGGGAGTTTGCGCTGCACCTGTGACCCCCCCCACATCCCACGTTTCCCCGCCCCTTCACCCAATAGTGCATTGCCCGCGTGTCCGCTGGAGACAGGCAGTGCAGAGGACACCTTCGGTGCAGACGGCGTTTCCATTTAACATATTTTTTTTAACCTTCTCCTCCGGTTTTATAACCGTCGCTGTGTGGCTGGGGCTGCCTGACCTACATTCTTCCTGGGCTGAGTCTGCGGCAGCATGGGGGGGGTTGGAGGGGGTGCTCCATCTCCTAGTCTCTGCTGCTATCTGCCACCACGCCCCCACCTTGGCTCCTCTCCTGCCCCTTTCCCAGCAATACTCCACCCCCCCTCCCAAACCTGTACGACGATCCCCTCTCTGCTGAGGACATTGTAGCCTTGGGACCAGGCGAGCATGGTAACATCATTCCACATTTGTGCGACCTCTCTGCTGCTGTTGTGGAAAAGCTCTGGACTCAGTTGCCTGTCGTGGGGCCCCCTTCGGCACCCCCACCCATCTCTCAGGCTGCTCCCTTCGTGAGCTCTGGGGGGGACACTGATGGGGAATTGATCCGCCCGTGGCAGAGCCAGCTCCTCTTCATTACCGGGGCACTGCGACAGACGACATGTCAGAAATGCGCCGGATGGAGATGGGGCACCTCGTTGTTGCAGGGGGGTCTCCTACCTTTTAATCGACAGCATTTCAGAGGTAAGGGAACCTCCAGATGACACAAGTCTGAGACTGAGTAGGAAATATAATATTATATGGCTAAATCCATTATTGCTATTCTTCATCTTCAACCAAACCAGTTCCAGTAAACAACGTCAAACACTGGATTTGCAGGTGTGATTAACATGCGGGTCAAATTTCTGATAAAAATCTAACCCTTAGGCTGGAATTAAATAAACAGTTTGACCTATCCGCTAATTAGGATTTAATTACATGGGACCGGTGCGCTCCTTGTGTGCGTCGGGAGGTTGCTGGCTCTGAATCCGACCCCAAATGCTCAGAGAGGGAAAAGATCTGCCAGCCCCAAGCCCGCCGTTTTGGCAACCCCCAAACACAACTGCGTTTGCGACCTGCCAGCTGGGTCACCGTCCAGAGCCAATCGCTGGTGTGAAAATGCTGCCATTACGCCCCCCCACCCCCATATGGGAAAAGGAGGGAACTGAAATAAGCATACAAGAATCAGGGTTGCCGTCCTACGTTCTATAAATCCATGGGGGACGGGTTATTCTCTCCCCGCCTTCCCCTCTCCCCACCCAAGGGGCATCAAGCCCCGCGAAAATGTCATGCGCTCGGCGGTGCCGATTACGCACACGCCGGCAATCATGTGCACAATGCAGAAGGGACCGAGCAGCCCAGGTGAGTGTGCCAGGCTGCAATCAGCCGGCAGAATCGAAAGACGAGGCCATTTTCGTTCATTTTCCGTCGGTGCGGGGCACCGGAGGCCTTAATTACAGATCCAGAAAGCCCCATCCCCGTGGCCAGGAGAGCCAGCGCCAGCCGTGTGGACGTGGGGAAACCGTGCCGAGGATCCAATCTCAGTCCCACGGACACCCCAGTAGCTCCCTCCCAGTCTCCCCAGAAACAGAGAACCTTCCAGGTTGGTGTAGAAAACAAACAAGCCACATGCAACGAGCCGGGGGTGGGGGGGCAGGAGCCCCCAGACGGGGTTTTTGCCAGCTGGAACGCGCGCCATCTGCCTCCCGCCAGCCAGCGTGTTTACCTCCGAAACGTCCTTCTCCACACCAGATACTCCCATGTTTCTCACGTCCTGCAGGGTTTATCGGTACAATTCCACTGCAGCTATAGCCCTGCCTGTGCTGATGCACGCCAGCCGGGGACAGATGTTGCACCGACTACAGTTATACATATCTGCCTGCCTGTTGGGCCAGCTCATACAGTACTGGCCAGCTGTAAACATGAATAATTAATGTGCAATGATAAATATAGAGCTACAATCGAGGCCACAACCACCTCGATGTGGCTGACCGCTGCAGAGGCAGTGGGACCCGGCGGCACTTCCGATCCAGCACCCGTTCCCCGGTCCCCGTGCATCAGACCTCATCCGCTCTCGCTCCCTCCCCGTTCCATCTTCTGGTGCAATTACCGACTGGCAACAGTGTTTGATCGGGGGTGGGGGTGCATCCCATAATATATCGAGCGCCAGTAACAGACGATGATGAAGCCCACGCCCCCCAGTGATCTCGCAGGAACCCCAGCCCCGGCGCGAAAGGTCCCCTTGGGTGTCCCCACGCGTTCCGATCCAGCATCCGCACAACTCGTGATAAATAAACACGGCGAGCGCAACGGAAATGGGGCCGCGGCTGCAATGTGAATCAGGCGTGCGCACGCGCTCCACATTACCACCCGCCTGTGACACTCACAACCGTCACTCTCATAAAATGAAAGCCAGCCACCGGAAGAGCAATTTAAGCACAAAAAAAGCCAGAGCTGCTTGATCAAAGCGCCCATTTTACGGTTTGGCAAATTAAATACATTTTGCCTTTGTGCTATTTTTTGCCCGAATTAAGAGCTTCTGGGAAATTCGTGAGGAAATCTGGTGATTATATTTTATTTTTGTCTCAGCGGTTGTATGTTTCTGTGCATCCATGGGAAGGGGGGTGGGGGGGGGGCGTGCTGGTGGTGGGGGGTGGGATGCTTTCACAGGTGTTGGCTACTGAGGAGGTCAAGGGCTGAGCTCCGACCTTGGAAAGTTCACATCAATTAGGGAGTCCTGCAGTCGGGCACCTTCTCGCCAGACGGTAATGGGGGGGGTACGAGCAGCAGGGTACAGTATCTCTATAATCCCACATCCAGGCCGGTCTCCTCCAGCAGAGGGGGGCCCATGTTTCCCCCGTGCTCTACAGCACTGCGATGGCAGATGCGTGTCCCAAATAAACACACACACACACACACACACACACATACACACACATTTGTATTCATATCTTTGTGGGGACTCTCCATTCATTTCTATGGGCAAAACCCTATTCCCAACAATGATAACCTTAACCCTGGCCCAGCCCTAACCTTAACCACAAGTAAGTATTTTTAGTTTTTTGATTGCAGTCACAGATTTTTATAAAATTGAGTTTCCCCTATTGACACCA